CTTTAAAAGCACTACTACAATGACGTGGGAAAATACCCAAACAAAGCTGAATACCATACATGTAAGTACCCGCGAAAACTTAAGAAAATACACACACACATACATACACACACACACACACATATACACACACAATAAAATAGCCTTATTTAATTACATTATTTAGAATTCTGGGTAATAGGCAATCATTATGTCTGTGTTTAAACCAGGTGAAATTTAAAAAATCATCTTCTATTTTATTGTAATACCATAGTACCATATTTTTAAGTTGGATTTTCCACTAGAGTAATTTTCTAACATCTCTGCCATCATATAGAGTTATTCAGAGCCTTTCCTGATTTCCAGGATCTTGCTATTATCTGTCTCACTGCAACCAAGAAGAAAACTATTAATTTTTTACCTTTCAAAATGTGGCTTGGATTACTGAAAAAAAACAAAAAAACAACAAAACCCCCCAACATTCTTATAAGTTCAATTTATAGGATATAATATATAGGTAGTCGTTGACTTACGACCACAATTGAGCCCAAAATTTCTGTTGCTAAGTAAGACATGGGTTAAGTGAGTTTTGCCCCATTTTACGACCTTTCTTGCCGCAATTGTTAAGTGAATTACTGCAATTATTCAGTTAGTAACACAGTTGTTAAACAAATCTGGCTTCCCCAATGACTTTGCTCGTCAGAAAGCCATAAAAGGTGATCACACATGACCCATGGACACTGAAACGGTCCTAAAGGTGAGTCAGATGGCAAGGACCTGAATTTTGATCATGTGACCATGCGGATGCTGCAAGGGTCATGCGCGTGAAAAACTTTTTTTCAGTGCCGTAGTTACTTTGTCACTGAACAAATTGTTGTAAGTCGAGGACTATCAATATCCTATTTCTTTACATTTTTTACAACATATTTTGCCCTTATCATCTGGGATCACATAGATGGCAACCTGAAAGAGACCGTGTTGAGTTTTTAATTTTCCCAGGCTTTCTTTTCAGTTTTATGTACATGTTGTCATGGTTTATTAGCATTTTAAGTAGGTTTTGTAAATTGCCCTGGAAGTTTTATTGAAGGGTGGTATGGAAAGAAAGAAAGTAGAATAAATAAAAAATAAATAGAGTCAAGCTTCATCACAGGTCTAATGAAAGCAGGGAAAGTCCTTTTTTTAACCCTTTGCATCTGTGCTTTAAAATTTACAGGGACTCTATACTGTTCTGTAGTCCTCAATCCAGTATATAATCTTTAAATGGACTGACCCAATAACAGAAGTTGAGAGTAATTGTAGCTGAAGCATGTTTGACTGCAGGTGTAACCTAAATTTAAAGAAAGAAACCCATCTAAAAAAGAATGAGAAGTAGCTGGTTTTTATGTGCTTGCATGCATATTTGTTAGCTAGAAATGCTTTATTTATAAATATTTGCAGAAAATAGCAGATTGTGTGGGAGCAACCCTCTCCTCCACCTAATAATGCCATGTATCTATCCCCAATTGGGTGGCTTGAACCAACACCTGATCAAATCTTGGGACGATTTTAAGCTGATTTATCTTACTTCGTTGTCCATTGATTCTGTTTGTCAGGCCCTATAGGGCCCTCGACCTCAGGGAATTTTACCATAGAGCAGTGTTTCTCAACCTTAACAATGTTAAGATGGCGGGTTTCAACTCCCAGAATTCCCCCAGCAAGCTTATGAGAATGTATATCACAAAAGACCTATGCATTTCCTTTATTAGAGTGGCCGTATAAGTCCCTCGCCCTCAGCCAAATATGAGAATGTAGTTTCACTGTGTAAATGAAGACTCAGTCATTCAGGCCAAAAGCACCTAAAAAGGTTAAATCACAGGAACTGGACCAAAGTTTATTAAACTGAGACTTTCATTATTCATCCAAGTAACTTATTCAGTCAAAATAGAAAAGAAAAAAAATTAGGTTAGGCAGAGAGTCAGAGAGTTGTTGGAACTAACTCTTGCCATAACAACTGCAAGGATTTCTCCCCGAAAATGTGTTGTGTTCAATGTATTGGAACACTCCAAAATGATGCTGCACAGAAGAATACTAAAACCTGTTCTTTATCATCCCAGAGGGGAGATTAATGGAATTTAACTTACACAAAGGCAAATTCCAGCTGAAGAATTGGAAACACTTCTTAGCAGTAAGAGAAGTTTAATGGTGAAACTAATTACTCAGGGACGTAATGGGACCGGCACTGAACAACTCTCTGTTGGGAATCTTTGTGTTCTTGCATGGATCACAGATCTGGATTTGTTGGCTTAGTGGCTCCTTCTAAATGTATGGTTCTAAATATGTTATCATGATTTGATGAGGGATTATCTCTCCTTCTCTTAATCTCTCTCAACGTTGGAATATTCATTTTCTATACAGTCATCTAAGACACACACTCACATACTTTTCCACCCGGGATGTGAGAAACAGCTGGAACAGATCATTCCATTGTATCCCCATTGTGTATTTTCCCAATTTCTAGACCGTCCAGGCCTCCATCTTCCATTTACTGCTCCACCTTGCAATGCAGCCCACCTGGGTGATGCAGGCCCCAGTGAAGGCTACGATGACGGCCACCACATTGACGGTCAGCTGGAACTGCAGGAATTTGGAGATGCTGTCGTAAACATTGCGACCCCACATCACCGCCTTGACGATGCTGGAGAAATTGTCATCAGTCAGGATGATGTCAGAGGCCTCTTTTGCCACATCGGTACCTGCTATGCCCTGGGGATGACACGAAAGTAGATGGTTGGTACGTTCCTCTTTTTGTGATGGGCAAACCCCCCCCCCCGACTCTCTCTCTTTTCTCTATCATGATCCCAACAGTTGTGTGTTCTCACAGTATTTTAATTGATCTAATTCATCCATTGCTAACCCAATGCCAATTAAAACACATATGTTTATTTAGGTTTATTTATGGATTTGTTGTATAGTTGTAGACTGGAAATCTACATTATAACAGAACAATATTCCTGAAAGCAATACAGCCAGGAGAGAAATCATAACAGAATCAAGCTAGCATGTTTATCAAGGTCTATTATTTTCTTGACAGAGCTCAAACCCAGTGCCTCCTAATAGTAATGGGCAATGTTCCTGGAGATTTCACTAGACTGATTGTTTAATTAAAACACTTGCAATCTCTGATTAGGACCAGCCCAAGAATTGACTGAATCGGGGAAGAAATTAAGTCTGCACACCAGGTCAGGTATAAAGGACAAATCAATAAAACTTGTTCAAGTACCTTAAACCTCCATCACTCAACACATGGGCAGGCATTCCTAATAAGTGATCTTGCCAATGTGAACTCCCTTTTATGAGGAGCAGGGACAGGAGAATCACAGTTGTTTAGAGGCCAAAGTCTCTAGAGTTGTGGTAGAAGAAAAAGCCCATTGGCATTTTAGAAAATTTCTAGTCACTAAAGAAATCAGGACCAAATTATATAGCACAAAAAGTATGCAAGTTTTTGAATTTCCCAAAACATTTTTATTGGGCTAAGAGATATGAGAAGAAAGAGGTAGAGAAGAAGGAACTTCTTGGCAGCTACACAAATTCTCCTTCATCATTCATCTTGTGATCTCTTCAGGGCTTAATTTCCTGGAGCCTATTTGTCAAGTGAAAAGGTACAATTGTTCAGTGGGCTGGAAAATAAAGTGTTGTATCAAACTATTTCACCTCCCCAAAGAACAGTCACACAGGAAACTTCATAATATATACTTTAATATATGGCCTTAGGCATGAAAGCCGGCTAGGTGACTTTGGGCTAGTCATATTCCCTCAGCCCAAATCCACCATAGGGTTGTCATGGTGGGGAAAATAGGAGGAGGAAGGAGTTTTATGTATATTTGCCACCTTGAGGTAATAAAGGTGGGATTAAAAAAACTAATAAAAATTTAAGTTATTCCTGGCATTTTTACCAGGAATTCTTTTTCATGTACAAAATATATCTGAATCCTATTTGAAGAGATTCTTCTAAGCTCAGGAAAATAAACTAGGCTACAGGTATTGCTGGCCTTTGTCACAATATTTTCCACTGATAACTTCAATGTACATTAAAAAAAAATCCCAATAAAAATAAATGTCTGCTAAAATTCCAATCTTGACCCCTTCTGAGATACCATCATCACTCCACTTTCATAAAAGGGGAAGAAACAGTGTCATTATTGTTGTTTTGGCATTTCAGGCAGTGATCAGGTGTTCAGAAGATTTCTATGTCTTTAGTTCTTGTCTAGGAGTGAGTTATAAATATATAATAACAAAAAATAAATAAATCCTGGAATAATTTAATGCCTCCCAATTCCTATTTCTCATGTTTCTTAGCCAGCAGGCTTTTTGGAATCTTAAAACAAACAAACAAAAATGTTTGTACCTTTTTTTAATTTAGAGATTTCAGTCAGGATTGCTAGAACTTACATGATGGTGTCACAGCATCAATGTATGGTCAATCAGGCCACGATATCATAAAGACAAATCAGAGTGAGGAATCAAGGTGACTGAGGCAACTGTTTTCAACCCAGCCCTTACTGAAGCTACCCCAAAGCATTGTTAACATAGACTGCTAGCATGCAATATACAGTATGTACAAAGTTGTGGCTCAGCCAGCCTTACTTTATTAGGCTACTTTAAAGGCTACTTTAACAGAATCTTGTAAATATTAATTCTCCCGCCATCTCCTTTATAGGCTGAGAAGCTAGGGAGGGTCTTTTCTGAGCCTCTTGCCCCTCCCAGTACCCAACTATGGTGTCTCTTATCTATTGTTCCCTATGCAGCATTTCTTGGCCCATTATCCCAATGTCTTTCCCCATACCATGAATCTACCAATGAAAAAAGACCAAAAAAGGCCTCAGAGAGCATTGGAATCTTGTTAATTATAAACATATTCACTCAGCACTCAGGAGTAAAGTGGTAACTACATAAGCTCATATTGACCATGAACATACACAGACGTCAACAACTTTATATCCAAATAAAGTAGATATGTACTTCTATGCATACTTACCTTAGACTAAACTCAATTGAAATCAGTAGTGCTCATTTCCCATTGAATTGGTTCAAATGCTAACATATTTTGACTTTTTTTTTTTAAAGTTTTTCAGCTAGTTGAAATAAACCTTTAGGGCTTTAGCTAGATTTTTAAGTAATTTGCAAAGGATCCAGTTTGAAGTAGATGTCCCACACAAGAAAAGACATGTCTAACCAGCACTTGTTCTGTTTATTCTTTTGATTTCCTATATGAATATCTAGCATAAAGAATAAGAAGTTCTGAAATGCTTGTTATCAGCTCGCTTACTTGCCAGAGAAAGTAGGGACCGAAGGAGGGAGCAGTGATGGAAACTGAAAACAACCACAACAACCACAGAGCTACACTTTCCAATATTTCCTCCCTCATATTGCAAGACTGGCTACTGCTTATCCAGAACTGTTTTGGTGGTCAGTAGGAATGGGCTGGATGGTACTTATTGAGTTTATAGTCATTAATACTTTGGTTAAACTTCCAGCTCCAAGTATTTGATTGACATATCTAAATTTAGCTAATGGTTTCCCATGGCTGAGCCCCTTATGTTGGATGCAATCCATCTAATTCATAACTTTGGCATCAATGCAGATACAGAGTAGTGGGCTACATTGGATCTGGGCCCTCTCTTTTCAGTTCAAGGTCACCTGCTCATCCGCAAGGTCAAACCCTGAAGAGGAAAAAAACCCTTGCAAATCTTCAGAAATTGCTTATGCACGCAGCGTTAACTAATGACTATGATGTCTCCTTGGCACCTCCCTCCACCCCTCATGCAATTTGTATTCGTTTCCATGGAAAATGGCAATAAGCAGATAATCATACATACAGCGCTTGCTTGCTTGCTTTTTAGAAAGGCAGAGACTGCCTGTACCAAGCATAGGGGAAAGGATGGCGGCTGGGCCAGCATTGAGTTAACTAGTACGTACATCTGTCATTGCAGCTGCGACGCCAGGAGGATGCTGGGCTCATCCCACAGATGAAGGACATGCTGTGAGCTCTCTTTTTATATTATGTTTGTCTTCACCCTAGTTCCCTGTGAAGTGGATGTCCCTGTGGACACAGGGGAGGGAATTCAGTTCAACTCCTCTTACCATGGCAAAGCCCACATCGGCCTTCTTGAGCGCGGGTCCATCGTTCGTTCCATCCCCAGTGACAGCGACTACCTGGCGCTGGTCCCCAATAGTGCTGTCAATGATGCCTTGAAGGTCAAGAATGTGAGTTAGCTAGTGGCGAGTGGGCTACGATCCAAATACATCCCAGAGCTCTTTGCCTCGTTAGGCGGACATGCTTTCAGAGAAATTCTGGGCTGCATATCTGGAGTTTGATTTGGAACAGGAAATAAATCCAAATCCTGGGAATTCTGCTTCCCACCACCCCGTGTTGTCTGAGGACAAAGAGTTTGGTGGTATCTTACCTTTCACCAGGGTGTGTTTATCAGTAGGTGATGATCGAGCCAGAACTCGCAGCTTTGGCCAGATTTTATCAAGACGTTCTTGTTCTATCTATAAGTATAGAGAAGTAGTATGTGTAGTACAAGAGAACATAGGAAGTTGCCTTAGCTCATTTCTGTGCTATCAGTTTATAGCATCTTCTGGAGCCATCCAACCATCATCAGCCAGAATAATGAAATCAGACTTTATAGCACTTCTAGGATGTCTGGGTGATACCCTGGAGGTGCTATAAGTCCTTAGCGTGGCATATATCTATTGCCAATAACTAGGATATTCTGCATATGAATTTTGTGCTATGGCCTTTCTCCAAACAGGGATGAGACTTATACGGTTTTTCCCAAGTTTGACACTCATCGCCATCTTTTGCTAATTGCAGTATCAAATGCTTGGGCCATCAAAGGTAAGAGGAGTGACATCCTTTCTTGTATGCTGTCGAATGAGATTGGTAGTCTAGAAATAGCTTGACAATCAGTAAAAAGGAGCGGAGCTTTCTAATGCTGGGAACGATTGAGGGCAATAGAAGAAGGGACGGCAGAGAATGAGGTGGCTGGATGGAGTCACTGAAGCAGTCGGTGTGAGCTTAAATGGACTCCAGAAGATGGTAGAGGACAGGAAGGACAGGAAGAACATTGTCCATGGGGTCGCGATGGGTCAGACACGACTTCGAAACCAACAACAAGAACTTTTTGTTTGTGGGGATTTTTTTTTTTTAAAGGTGATGAGTGTTCAGAATGTTCCTAATGATTTGAGTTGATGAAAAACTGTGATTTGTTCAAATTGAAGTTCTCTTGTTTAAGGGGGAACCTTTCCCTGATCTCCAAATGAATTTCCATTTGAGCAAACCCTTTGGGGAAGAAAGCTACTCTTTCAGAACTTATCTTCCTGACTTTGGAATTGCAGGAGTAGCACCTTTCCCAAAACTGAAAACAGCTTCTTTGATACCTCTCCCTTCTCATTGCGGATCCTTCGGTTGAAGTCCTTTCCCTCCAGACACAAGAAGTCCTCCCCTGGTTGGATGATACCACATTTGGCAGCAATGGCTCGAGCTGTGTTGATGTTGTCTCCTGTCACCATACGGACAGTGATGCCAGCACGCTGGCACTTGTGGATGGCCTCTGGCACCTGGAAAATGGACACATGGTATATCTAATTAAAGGCATAGATTGCTTATAACATAACATGCTTCTTGATTTTCCGCCTCAGTATTGAATCTGATATCTCCAAAGTCATTGGTTAATTGCTATTTTACCTCTATTTTACCTCTTTGCTAGCACCTAGCAAATTTGGGGAAAGTAGAAGCCAGGGGGAAAAAACCCCCGAATCATAACCCCAGTCTTTTTGTTTAAAATAAAAATGGCCAGCTTCAGCATATTTTTGTTTTTCCTCATTCAGGCTGTGAAGATATATCTACACATATATCTGGATAATGTGTTACAATTACAATGCTCAACTAAAATAGATGGTTAATGTCAGGAGGACACAATCTTGCATAGGAGACATATTATTCATCTTAAAAAGTCTTCTCCTAAAGCCAGATTTGTTGAAATTCATTTCATTAGACTAAGGATGAAAACAATCAGTTTATATATGTATATATTGAGAGAAGACTATTCATTGACTTCACTCTATTTAATCCTGTTCTCCACCCACGATGCAAAGCTCTGTCTTATTTTCGCATGAAATAATGAAAATGCTTCCTTGCACAGGATAATTAAAATGTATGTCTTAGTTCTTTGTTCTCTGCACTAACATCCAAATACTTTATCATGTAAAGTACTTCATGTCTTTTATGCTGCTTTTACGTGTGTTAGCAAAAGGGGGAGAGCTGTTATTTAGCACAGAAATCCCAATGGATCTGACCAATGGAAATCTCCTTTAGCAACTTCCCCAGCTTCTCTTTGGCCTCTAAAAATGTTTTAAGCTGTTCCAAACTTGCCTTTGTAGCCAAAGGATTAAAAACATGTTTCTCCCCTTTGTGGGGGCGCAGTGGTTAGAATGCAGTATTGCAGGCTAATTCTGCTGACCTGCTAGGAATTCAATTCTGACACCTCAAGGTTGCCTCAAGGTTGTCTCAGCCTTCCATCTTTCCGAGGTCAGTGAAATGAGGACCCAGGTCGTTGGGGAAAATATGCTGACTCTATAAACTACTTTGAGAGTGCTGTAAAAGCACTATGAAGTGGTATATAAGTCCGTTGCTATTTTTCTTAAATGAAAAAGAAGCCATTGTTATGAAGCTTAATTCTGGGCTATTTCTAGACAACTCTGACTTTATCTATGTTACAGAATTGAAGCAGCTGTGCATGTCTGGCAAAATTCTCTTAGGATCCATATTCACCACTCTGTCCGCTGGGCCATAGTGGCTGCTGAAAGCAGAATAACATAATAACAGAGTTGGAAGAGGCCTAACTCTAACCCTATTCCATCCCTACATCACCTCAATTTGTTCTTACTAGCCAACAGAACCCACAGCCCTGCCCTGTTTCAGCTTTGATCAGCCACTGGGAAGGAATGGGAGATTGGAAACTCGAGTTGACTTCCCCTGATTGACAGAACCAAGCCAAGCCAAGCCAAGCCAAGCCAAGCCAAGCCAAGCCAAGCCAAGCCAAGCCAAGCCCCACTAGGGAAGGGCTGGGAATCCAAAGGAGCACAAAGGTAGGTTTGTTCAGAGAAAATCCACCTCTATCCGGCCATTACCTCTGGTCGCACAGGATCCTCAATCCCCACCACAGCAATGCAGGTCAAATCTATCACAATATCATTCTCATTGTCCCAGTCAGGCTCCTTCCCTGCTGGAAAGTCACGGTAGGCTATGCAGATCGTTCGCAGCCCATCGCAGGCCATGGGCTCGATCACTTTCTTTACCATTTCATCTCGGTCCCTGGGCCGGAAGACGCGAAGCTCTCCATTGCTATTTAGGATGTTTGTGCACCTGTAAAAGGAACGAACACACACACACACATACACACATACGTATGTACACAAAAACTAGTTTATGTAGAATCCTTTCTGCTTAGGTACCAGTTCTGCCATATATACAAGGTATGCAATGACTCATTTATCCAGGATGTTTATTAAAGAAAGTAACTCTTCAAAATTGGCTCATTTTGATATAAAGGGAAAAAAAATGTTGCTCCTTAAAGCCATTATTGATTCCTGGCAACTGCCTGGAATAGTCCCTGCAGTTTTCTGAGCAAGATTTCCTTTAGTGTTTTTCCTTTGCTTCTTTCCTGGGGCTCAGAAAGAGTGACTGGCCCAAGGTCACCCAGCTGCCTTTGTGTCTAAGGTAGGAGTAGAATCCAAAGCTTCCCAGTTTCTACTGTGAGTCCTTATCCACCATACCAAATTGACTCCTTGGTAAAGAAGCATCTGCAAAAGGCTGTAATGGTAGCTAAAGGCAGGCTGGGAGAAATGAAATCTCACGTTCAGGAATTCTGCTAATTCTGACTTCTGAGCCACATCAGAGCTTCTCTGATGACCATCATCCCAAAAGCTTTAATTAAGTCAGCATTGCCTGTGTTAATTTCACACTGCTCTGTTGCTTTCTTGTTTTCATGTAACACAGCTTTAATTTATTATGGTTTTTGCATAGTCAGCCAGAGGTTTAGACTGGATTTAGAATTTTTGTCTACCTATCAAATTTTCCCCAAGGACCTGGGATAGGTAGATGTCATAGTTTGATGGTGTTAAATGTATCATCGCAAGATGTAAGCTGCTCCCAGTAAAGCTTTCTGCAATTGACTGGTGGGGATTTTATGATTATGGTCGGTCGCACAGTGTTTTTTTATGTATTTATTTATTAATCAAATACATATAGCTGCCCATCTCGCCAAAGGTGGGTGAAGCCACTTAAAAAAACCAATAATATATTTTTAAAGTATAAAAATCACATTAACAGTAAATATAAAGATACAAACTCTAGGCAAAGAGGGAATAAAAATAGCCAGCTTAGTAACTGAGCCATCTAAGCATGTCACTGGTTCCCTGGGACTCCCAGGCCTGATAATATAACCAGGCCTGGAGGGCCTTCCAGAACATCAAAAAGGATGGAACTAATCTAATTTGGGGGGGGGCAATGTTTCATAAGTTAGATGCCACAGCAGAGAAGGCACATATGTAGACCCCCATCAAATGTAGGTCCCTAGATGATGGTATGGGCAGTATGCCTTCTCTGGCAAATCAGGGGTGGGATTCAAATTTTTTTAACAACTGATTCTGTGGGTGTGGCTTAATTTGTGGGTGCGGCTTAGTAGTCATGGGACTGGCTGGGCATGGCTTGCTGACTGGGCATGGCTTGGTGGTCATGTGACTGGCTGGGCGTGAATTGTATGTAAATATTATAAGTATTTATGTAAATATTGATTTTTTTATTTAAAAAGAGCAACTTTTACCCCAAATCAGGCAAAGCAGGCAGATTGATTGAATTGCTCACAGAATCACAGATTCATTCAGAGATCTATCTTTCTGCAATCGGCTACCAGAGTCTGTCACATAACATTTGCTTGCTAGCAAACTCATAAAATTAACTCACAACACGCTAGTTATGTAAATATTGTTTTTTTTATTAAAAAAGAGCAACTTTTACTCAAAGTCAGGCAGAGCAGGCAGGCAGATTGAGTTGCTTACAGAATCACAGATTCACTTAGAGATCTGTGTTTCTGCCATCTGCTACCTGAATCTGCACTGAATAACAGAAGTGTCAGGCTCAGCTCTGCTTTTAGATTAGCTAGAAAGCAAGAAATCAACGATTTGCCAGTTCTCTGGCAGGTAGAATCCCACCCCTGGTAAGAGTGCATTTTGCGTGCATGTGTAGACCATTTCCTAAAAAACCTCAGCTGTGCCACCCGGACAGCTGACAAGCGCTACGCGCAGATGCACAGCATTTGAAAATCTTCTTCTTTCCTGCTTTTTCAACCTCAGCTGTGCCACGCAAAGCAGCTGAGATTGAAAAAGCAGGAAATAAAGGACAGCCAAAAGCCCGGGCAGGCGGCTCGGCAGAACAGAGCAGTGGTTTGGTGTCTGTTGCTCTTCAGAGCTACTGGTTCTAGAGAAACGGGCTGAATCAGTAGCATCCCACCCCTATGGCAAATCCAATGGGGCAGGCAGATTTCACTGGGGAGAGGTGGTGGTTCCCTCAGATAGTTTAGTTCCATGCCATGAAAAGCTTTATAGGTCAAAAACAGCTGGACTCTAAAGCAAACAGACAACAAAATGCAGCTTTCAGAACAAAGGTCAAACATGCACTGTTCTAGGCGTGCACTTAACTCCATTATTAATGACAACTGTAAGAGTTGAAGTGAGGGATGGAACTTATTTATAAGTTCCTGCTTCTCCTTGCTTCTTGCCTGATTTTTTGTTGTTGTTGTCCCTCACAATTGGCCTTTTTATTCATTGTTGATTGTCTCCATTTGCAGATGTATCCTCAAATGAGGTACATAGATAGCCTTAGACAACAAGCTCGTGGTCTTAGCTCATCATCATATTATTCATATTTATTTGAGCTTCTTTAGCTTGCTTCTCAATCTAAAATAAATTCTTTGTTTGGATTCCAATAGCACTGCAGACAAATAAATGCTCACTTTTCAAGGTTGGAAGAATTCCTGGAATAAAATGTATGGGGATGTTTCAAGGTTAACATAGGGAACCAAGGTGCACTTATAAATGACCACACTGGGGCAAGCTCCACAAAATGAGATAGTCTTGCCCACTTTAAGATGGTAGCCTTTGTCTGTATGAAGGACCCTTTCATACCATTTACAATGCAGAGCAGACTCACTTTTTCAGGACAATTTCGGAAGCGCCTTTGCTGAAGAGGCGATAGCCGCCATCAGGCATGCAAATGACGGTGCTCATAGATTTTCGGACAGAATTGAAGGTGTAAACCTTGTAGAGCTTCTCCTCTGGCATGTGCTCACGGACAGCCTGGTAGTCACGTCGCAGGTCAACCACAAACCCCAGCAGTGCACATTCGGTCTTATTGCCTACCTGGCGTGGGAGACCCCCTTCTTTTTCTGGAGGCTGAAGGAAACGGGAGGATCAGAAAGGAGAGACACCCAGTTCAGTTCTTCTAACTTCATCACTGGTCTCTGCCAAACAGCATGTGAATGAGGGAGTAGGGATTGGATCGGATGAATCCAATTCTTGGTTGCCAGAATTCAGGTTTGTAAAATAGGCTTTGAATCTAAGGCATATCTATGCTATAGATAAAATAATTTAATAATTGTTTTGGGAAGTCTAGATCTCTTTAAAAGTTTTCAGTGTTCTCACCCAGGTGTCAAGCTTCAAATGGCGTTTTTGGCAACAGCATCAAGATTTTTAAATAAAGAACAAACAGTAAAAATGGCAATTTGATAGCCTATCAAGGTACATTTGGAATGTGATTCTTGACAGTTATCCTTTCTGAAGGGATTTAAAAAAAAAAAAAAAAATCTAGACCCTAGAGATTAGTCCTCAGATGTTGCTAGTTTCCAATTTCGGCAGCTTCTGCCAATACCATGAGTCATAAGGGATGATGAAAGTTAGAGTTCAGCAATATCTGGAGGATCAGAGATTTATCACCCCACTCTAGTCACTTTTCTCCAAGGTGTGCTGACTTCCTCCACTGGAGTTTGGTTGGATCAGAAGGAAACTGGGCAACAATCTGCAAGCGGTAAGTCCCAGGGCTAGAAATAATATTAGCACCGCTCATTCTTATGCCTTCACAAATGAATTCTTTTCTATGTGGGCTCCAAGACTGGGAAAGGCTTCCATTCAGCTGCATCCCAAATAGTATCACTCCACAGTTAGAGGTCATAGGTTCTCCTTAAATAGCAATAACCTTTCTGTGGACGCTGCTGAATGGCGGCCTGATCCAGTAGCTCTCACAACTGGTCTGATCGTCAACTGGAGCTCATTAGAGCCTGCAAAGGAAATGAAAACAATAGCTAAGCTTACTTATCTAGGACAAAATGAAATTTGATGTTGTGGTTTAGCCAGTGGTGGGCTGCTGCTTGGTTTGGACCAGTTCTAGTAAACCAGAAATTCCAACCCTCAGCTGCTCCCGCCCAGCTGCCCCCGCCCTATCCTGTCCTATATTTCCTTCTTTCTAGCTCAGCTGACTCGTGCGGCACAGCTAATTTCCACGCCTCAGCTGTTCTACTTACCAAGGCTGCCCTAGAAGGTAAGCAGCTGAGCTTCAAATTGCTGGTTTTTGAACGATGCGTACAAGCGTGTTAGGCGTTTGCCGCTCACAGAACCAGTTGTTAAACCGGTTGCAGACCACCACTGCGTTCAGCCTCTCTTCTTCTAATTTCTGAACCAGAAATGTTATTTATTCCATAGGATAGGTGCGGTAACAGAGTAGGCATGTCTACTCATCCCACCAGATGCTGTTCCTGAGTGACGGGGTGCCAACTCTGTTAAATCTTACTGGATGGTAATCCAAAGCATGCAGTTCAGCTAACGATCAGGCTCTGTGCCATGAAGGGCTTTAAAAGTAACAATCAGACCTGAAAATCAATGTTATGTTACATGGGCAGAGCAAAGTGCACCCATAACTACTTGCATGGCTGTATTTGGTTCAGTGGTGAGGAGTCTTCAAGGGCAGCTCCACACAGTCCCCACTTGGACTAGAGAAGAGGTGTCCAAGGCATGGCTGACTGCAAATAGGATCTCCCAATGGAGAAACGGGAGGCAATTGGCACATAAGATAGATTTGTACAAAGGCTGCGCCACCTGATCTACAAGCAGGAGCTGAGAATCTAGGAGGACCCCCAACCTATATTTTAGCTCTACCTGGGGGAGGACCACACCACCCAGAACTAAAGACAGAAAATCTTCAGATCTTTTTTTGCATGAATTCAGCCTTTTCCTCCTAAATGGCCAGTCTGATGTCCTCCATGTTCTTGGATGGTTGTAGAGATATTCAAGAAACCTGCCCTCTTCTGTGAATTCTCTGAGATTCCACCTGATTTCCTGCTTGCCATTCAAAATATTAACTAGAGATAATTTTTCTCCACCTGGACAGTTCTCCAGAAACTTAGTTCTCCAGCTTCTTAGCATTCCAGCTGTTGGGGATTTTAGTTCTTCTTCACGTCTGCCATTTTTTTATTTACTGCTAATTGTTCCCAACTTAAATGTCATTTCAAGTCAAAGTACAGAGATAGTCTTACACCAGCGTTAGATGTTGGTCTTAGCCTTTCCCCATGTCACTCTTAATTTTTGAACATCTTTAACCTGCTTATTGTGGAGATAATAATATTTATTTCACAGGGAGCTACATTTCTCAAGACTGCAGCCAACATAGGTAATGGTGATGGGAATTACCATGGGGGAGTTGGGAGTTTCCTAAGGGCCGTAGATTCCCTACTTGCATAATAGTACTGAATTTATGGACCAATGTAGCCTTAGGAAGGAGTGTTTCCAAAAGGGGCTGCTACTCACTAGTATCTTGGTGGTATAGGCACTGTTGATAGCAATGGCATGCACCAGCAGATCCAGTGTCTTGGATGTCAGGCTACTGGGCTCAGGTGTCTCCTTGTAGTGAGTGTCACCCATGTAGGACTGCACGACTGTCATGCGATTGGTGGTAAGGGTCCCTGTCTTGTCCGAGCAGATGGCCGTGGCATTGCCCATGGTCTCACAGGCATCCAAATGCCGGACCAGGTTGTTGTCTTTCATCATTTTCTATAGTCAGGAAAAGAGATTAAAAGTATACATATTTTTCTCCACAGGAGAAGAGTTAGCAAATTAGGGCCCACCATTCCACCCACCTGCATTCCTATAGTGTTTCAAGAATAGACGAGGGCAAATTTTGAGACCTTGTTTTTTTGGGGTGGGTGGGAGGGGGGAATTGGAGAATTTAAAGGACAAAATTCCAGCTGCCTAGTATATCCGGAACACCCCTTGAAAATCCTGATCTTCTCCAAGTGCCAAAATATACATTTGTATTCTTATGCAACCACAGCATGCTGTGAAGTTATATTGAGTTGATAATCAACTCTTCTAAGATGCTTGACCTCAGTAGATGCCATATGCCAAATAAAATAAAATACAATAAAATAAAATTCCTCTAAGATCTTTTTCACAGACCATTCTATATCTGAATGACTGATTGTTGTTTCCTACCTAAAGAATTTTGCATTTGCTCTGTTATACTTCATGCTGTTACTATCATTTCTATAACCTATCATGATACTTTTGTTTTATTTGAATATTATTTCTGTCTTCTAAATAATGGGCATCCCACGCACTATTGTTTCCTCTGCATATTTGAAAGGCATTCCTTTAGCCTTTCCATCCCACTTATTAATCCAAAAATTAAAGTTCATACATTCCAGGAATGATACTTTACTCCAGTTGGACGAGAATCCATTAAAGAGCTAACCATGAATGACAATCTACCTAATTGTCCCATTTCACTCATGCTTAAAGTAGTTTGCTGATCAGTGTACCATGGATACTTCTTCAAATGTTGGTATTCCTATCATATATTAAGGAAGATACTGATTTAAAAAATGAATTAACTGATAGTCCGGTGAAAATAGGTCTTGACAAATGCACACTGATTCCTAATAATGGCTGCATAATTTTCAACATGATTGATGATGATCTGCCTTATGAACTAGTCCACAATCTTCTCAGTCATTCCTGTTAGGCGAACTTGCACCAGAGTTTCAAAGGGAGATGGCCACCAGAGAGAATTTATGGGAATAGAGGACACAAGAGTCCAGCCATGTATTTTAGAGAAAATCAATGAAGGCACTAAGGACATAATGCTCACCTTGACAGAGTAGGCTAAAGAGATAGTGACAGCCAGTGGCAAGCCTTCGGGCACAGCCACTACCAGGACGGTGACCCCAATAATAAAGAACTTGACAAAGTATTGCACGTAAACAGGAGTGCACTCAGCCATCCACGTCTTCCCATCAATAACAAAGGTTTGAATGATGAAATACAGGACGAGGATGATGACTGTGATAGCTGACATCACCAGCCCTAGCAGGATTGGAGAAAATTAAAAAAAGAAGAAGAAGAAGCGAGACAGTCAGATGTGACAGCAAGACCTGAATCTGTGAAATCACACACCCTGCAAATAAAATTGCGTCTTGAGAACATTTTGTATTAAAAGCCAGAATGTGAGAAGAAAAGTCCCCAAAGGGCTTTTTGGCTCAAGGCCCAGTCAATTCCACAAATTTCCATTCTTAAAATGAGAACTGATGGGACCTGTTGCCATCTACGCAGCCTTCTCCAGGCTGATGCCTTAAAGGATTATATTTCTCTTCAGCAACATATATCTCTAGAAGGGGAATGAGAGCTATTAATGGTGTTCAAAACATCTGTAGGACAACCAATTGAGGGAGGCTAGTCAAGAAAACCAAACAGAAAAGAAAAGCAATCTCACCCCCGCCCCTTTTTACTCTATTTGTAATGTTGAGCCTAAGGGAATATTGGAGATTCATAGTAACGTTATAATAATGTCTCTTTTTCCATCTCACAGAGATGGGAAATTCAACTTCTCAGCTGCATCAGCCCAGCACCTCAGCAAGGTTGATTCCACCAAAGGACCAGATTTTAAGGGGATTTCCTCCCCCTCCATACTACAGGGAACAGACCTATTTAAGAATATATGGTTTTTAATACCATAAGTGATGGGAAACTGGGTGCAAGGCCTTTGCAGATCAAAAGTTCCAATTTAATTGGCAGCCAATGATCTACCAGATACTATGTATTTTTATGCCCTGTGTCCTCCTGAGTGCAAAGAGTTAGCTTTAGTAAGTACTTGATTAATTGATTAGTCTTACAGTCTACCAAATAAAGCAAAATAAATTAGGATAAAATAATAAAAACAAAAATAAATGCAGTAATAAAACAGATACACAGTAAATTCAAAGAATCGGCATTCAGATAAGTGCATTGCCTTTACATGACACCCCAATTTGTTTGATATTACAGATTCTTAGCTGAGCTGCCTTAACTAACTTCACAGTTCTGCTTTATAAAAGGCACAGTTCTGCCTTTCATAAGAACTAAAGGCATGCCTCGGTGGTGGTATTCGACCGGTTCTGGAGAGCCGGTAGCGGCGATGAACAGTGGAGACCGAACCGGTTCTCTTCGCTGCTCTGTGGTTGGCCCACCTGCCCGCTTGAGTTCCCATACTCACTTTTATGGCCAGAATTCAAAGCGCAGCTGCTTTGCGTGGCACAGAATAGCGCCACGCGACAGCTGCTGCAGCGACCAACATCGTGCAGGCTTGCGGGAGGCAAATTAGAACGCCTCTGTGCCTGCGCAAAGTGCGTGTTTGGCGCGTGCGTGCGTGCAAAGTATGCACGCGCGCAAAGCGCGGCCACCAAGCCACGCCCACCGAACTGGTGGCAACTTTAGTTGAATACCACCACTGATGTGCCTGTGTCTTCATGTACTATATGCTTATCTCAGAAGGCAGAGAGAAGGATGAATTACGTTTCCCATGACCTTGAGTGTGGTTTCAGTGTCAGGGTTAGTTCATTATCCCTCTAAAATGGTTAAAACTGGATTAGAACATTGACAAAGAGTAACAATGGATAAATAATTAATATGGAATCAATGAAAAGACAAATGCTTGCCTGATTCATACATACTGCACAACTGGCCTTCTCTCAGCCAAGGATATTGTTCATTCATTTATCAGCAACGGTACATCCAAGCTCGCTTCCCTTCCCAAAGGGGAGTGCCCACCGTTGCTACAATGCAGCTGTCCCCTCACACCGCTCCCATACCTGCTTTCCCAATTTGAACAGCCAGTTTTGTGAGCTTCCCCTGCAAGACAGATTTCTCTTTTTTCGGCACACTGGCTTTCTTCTTCTCCCGCTCTTCCATCTCACCACCCTCGGCACTTTTCAGGGGTTGCATCTCCATGGCAACTGCCCCATCCTGTTTTTTGGCTGCAGAGAGAAAGGAGCAAATATGGTTTCACCCAAAATTGCTGACTCTTTATTATAATTCTGCTACTAGGCTTGCCCGTCTGTTTGGGCATGTATGCGTGTGCGTGCATTTTACTTTTCTTGATCCAGTTGTTTATAAACAACATCCTGGTAAGCTACAAAAAATAAGGCAGATATTTTCTAGTGTATTGATCGCCATAAAAAAGGTTATTTATTGCCTGTAACTGAAATCGTGTTTGGTATTAATCCACTATGATGTTCAGTTTTGGGTTAGCAAGATATGTGAAGCCAGACATAGCAGTTTATAAACCATGGTTTATGGTTTAAAATGAAATTGTGAACAAAGTACTTTTTTTTTTAATCTTAGGTCTGGGCAAAAGGCTTGTACTCAGTCTTCTATTTAAGGCATAAAAGCAAGGCCATAATAAGTTGCCATTCTTTTTTGCAATTTTGCAACTTTTGCCATAATCAAAATGGATATATTGGGTAAAGCAGAATTTGCCCAATGTTAGCTAAGGCTGTTGTGGTTTTTCAAAATCACTTTTTATCGCAAGTTGCATGATTCATTCCTGGAATTTTATAAAGTGTGTTCCCAGGCAACATCATAGATCATTATAATAGTCCTGTGTTTTTCTATTCTGTATTTCTGTTCTGAATGTATCAACTTGTTTAAGGGAAATGAGTTGCTATAAAATATATTTTGATTGCTGGATTTATACACTACAAATGAGTTGTGACTTTGTTTGGTTGTCACTTATCATAACCTGCAGACTAAGTCACTATGGCTTATTTAACCGTCAGTAATTAAATAATTGCTCTTCCTCTAAGCTTTCTCACTTACATCTCTGCACACCAGTTATCAAAACAAAAGTACCATCATTCTTATGATTCTTAGTCATCCAGATCATGGTTGTCCCAAAGGTGCTTTTTCAAGAGGCAACTGGACTTTGTTTTTCCTTGAATACGTTTTGCTTTCTCATCTAAGAAGCTTCTTCAATTCTGACTTCAGTCAGAACTGAAGAAACTTCTTGAATGAGAAATGAAATGTCTTCATGTAAAAACAAAGAAAGTCCAGTTGCCTCTTGAAAAGGCACCTTTGAGACATCATTCCCATGTATTATTTTCATGGAAGTTCTTCCAAAGTACTCTATGAAACACAACTTCATAACCAACTTAGTCTGTTTCAACAGCAATGATTTTCCCAGTGAGCTCTAGAAATATAAGTTCCAGAAAGAGAAAGAGATTTTCAACAAACATCAGGACCCCTTATAGAAAAGTTATTCAGTTGCCATGGATGAACAAAACTTATTTTCATGATAGGTCCAGAAATTCTACATCTCAGGTGGGACATACTGTTCCCTGATTCATTCAATGCCTATTGAACCTAGAGAAATACAATGTATTCATTGAAGAAGACACTCAACTCTTTTAAGGCTGACTAGCGTTACTTTTCAATGCCTTAACAGGAGTTTTGCTAACGCTGTCTTTTGCACAAGATGCTTATTTTTCTGAACAGTCATATTGCATTTTATTCTTCTTTGGAGAGAAGCTCATTTGACAGGCCTACTGCCAAAAAGATTCAATGTTCAAAAAGTTCAACATTCAATTCAAAGTCTAGCAATACAGACTTCTAGTATAGCATCTTAGTACCATATATCTTATTTTCCTTTTCTGGTAATATTGCAGAGAATGTTGATTAATCAAAGCAACTCTGACACTGTCTGGCAGATGGAACCATGTTTCTTTTAGGCTTAGAAATGAAGAGAAAATAGAATCGGAGTAAAATGTATTTGCATGCCTCTAGTACTAAGATTGTAAACCAGTAGAAAATCCAGGATTAGGTGAGGTCATAGTCTCATTTTAAGCTCTGTATGTTAGGTCAAGGTGGGAATGTGGGCATCCAGATGTTGAAATCTGGCCTTTATCAGCTATGGTGGCCATGGCCAGTGGCTGTAAAGAATGGAATGCGTTAAGGTCTTATCTATCAATCTAATCTAATCCATCAATTTCCACTTAAAAACCTCAACATCCACCAGGTTTCTTTTCTTTTTTTAATTTCTGTTCTTTGCTTAACCAGAAGTGCTTTTATTTAAATCTGAAGACTAAATTCACAGTCATTCAAATATCAGTTCTATACCCTAGAATTCTAGGGTTCAACAGCACCTCTAAAGATTAATTCAAACATCCGAGGCTAACTATACATTAAGAGCCTAAAATAAATATAGCTTGGTCCTAGGACTGAATGATTAACGTGTTCCTGGAAGAGCTAAAAGACAGGTCAAAATAACATATATTTATTCCTACAGTCACTAGGAGATGAAGTGAACTTGATAGCACTTAATTAACCACTGGGTTGTAGAAATTTATCTGAGTTTCATTTTTCATGTGCCGACTTTTACAAACCATCTAGCTAATATCTTCAGCGCTATGACCTTGGAGAAATGGGACTTGTTGTGGAATATATAGTCACTTAATAGTCCATAAAACATTTGTAAATTAAAAGAATAGGAAATATAAGCAAAATAAATAGACAAACTTTAAATATCTTGACCTCAGATCATCAGGTCTGGACTTGTTTACTGTTTGGGAAAAAAAGTTGTTAAAAAGAATGCATTGGATCTTATGGTATAACTAAAAACTATTGAACTAGACTATCAAGATCTGGAGAATGTTATGTCTTTCTGATACAGCTGGCATTCCAACTGAATGTAGGCACTCAAGAGATAGGGTGGGGAAACATTTACCTTTGTTTTGATTATTCTCCACTGCCCCATCCTGCTGCTTCCCTACAACAGAAAAAGGGAACGACAAACACAGAACGCTTGAGAACATACAACACAGCACCAGTGCAACAGGTGTGCGCACACAAACATACACACACACTATGGAGAGCATGGATCGTGATAAAGCTCCTCCCACTATGCTCTGTAGGCTGTAGTTAGTCTTTTCCAATCTGATCCCCACCAGTTATATTGGTCTGCAGCTTCCATTATTGCAGGGGTGTCAAACTCAAGGTGTCAGCGTTCCAGCAACTCTCCATTCCAATCAGTAACTCCGAGAGAATCATAATCTCAAAAGTACCTTTATTAGAATAGCAACTGGCACATCTGTGGAATCCCGAATCTGAAAGTTTCCGGGCTTCCCACAATTTCCCAAACTACAAATCCATCCCCCCTTGGCCATCATCACGTCACATGGCCCAATCATGATCTGTCCAAAAGTAAGATCCTTATTTCATCCCGCGCCATACTCAGTGACCTTGAACTAACAAAATAATTTTATTTTGTCTACTTAGCTACTCAATTGAATCCACCCCCTCCCACTTTCTCAAGCTTGTGGCAGCGTGGAAGCATCGAATCAGAGGATGGCTTCCAAAGCTGACACAAGGCGCTTAGATGTGGCCCGGGGAGGAGGGGCTACCCTGGAAACAGTGAAGGACTGACCCGCAATGCCTCTGCCAGCAAAAACAAACCTGGTAGGGCCACACATGGCCCTCCCAGACTCTGTGTTTGGCTGCAACGGCCTCTCTGAGCTCTGTTTTCACTGGCAGAGGGCTGCATGAGGTGGTCACAGCCCAAAATGGAGCCTTGAGTGACATTGACCTGGCCAGCACCCCCCCTTCAGCCACATCGCCCTGAGGTCAAACACAGCCCTCAATGAAATCGAGTTTGACACCCCTGCATTACTGTAAACCAACATTCATTGGCTGGTTGGATATGGCAGGGGTTATAGTCTTGTAGTCCCACATTTGGAGAACACATGGCTGAGGATCATTCATGCAGATGCAAGCAAAATATAGCTGTAACTAGAAGAATTGAGCCTAATTTGGTGGCTTTACTCTACCGCTATATTGGATTCCATGTATTGAAAAGAATGGGGAGAGTTTTAGGCCGCTGTAAAAAAATTAAAAGGGTGAAATCTCGACCGATTTCAAGGATAAAATGCTCAAAATAGTGTAGGATCTGCAAAACTGGGAAAAATGTAAATATAGCAATGAACACAGAGAGATCTATTAGTGTTTAAAGTGGAATGTACTAAAAAAAGAAAAGAAAAACACCTTTTCTACCAAAGAATGTCCTCTTGTAAAAACTAAACCCAACAAGGTTATCCCAGCACGACTTTTAAAAAGATGATAGAAGTCTTCTTCATAAATCACAACTGACCATGTGATGAATTTTGGTTGATGCTGATAGTGACAGCATCACTTCTTGTGGATGCTTCAGGCAAAATATCTTATTGTCTCCATCTCTCTGCCTTGTTGCCCCCTCCCTCTTGTTTGACCTCTTTTTGCCCAGAACAAGAGAAGGCCCCGTCTCCTCATCTTTAATACACTTAATTGGCTTCCTGCTCTAAGGTACCAGATGTTTTACTTTCTAGAAAATGGTTGTTTATTGGAATGGAGCCTACACTACAAAAGCTAGTCCAGCCTGAGTTTATTTTGACAAGATAGGATAAAAAAAAAGAATAGATACATTTTTTGGAGTTAGAATGTGAGATATATTATACATTTATTTCCCCTTTATCCAGAAGAAGTGAAATTTTCTTTTTTAGTGTTATGTAAGCAGCATCTTTAATTTATTGTATCCCCTTTGTGAAGGTTAGGATTAAGATTTAGGGATGACTATAAAAAGAACCTGTAGAATGAGTAGACAAGTGCAGATAACTAGTAAGAACAGCAGCAGCTGGGTTGAGTCCAAATTGCATTATTATGATTGTCCACAGAGCTAGGAGGTATTTACACTGGATTTGACATTTTTCTCCACCTATTGAGACTTTCTTCTTCTTCTTCTTCTTCTTCTTCTTCTTCTTCTTCTTCTTCTTCTTCTTCTTCTTCTTCTTCTTCTTCTTCTTCTTCTTCTTCTTCTTCTTCTTCTTCTTCTTCTTC